CACTTTGGTATCTTGGGTATCATTAAAGATACCCAAGTGTTCCACATGTGTCTAATTTCTCATAATTTGAATAGACTGATGCAGTGGTCGGAGAAGTGGCAGATGCAATTTAATATAGAGAAATGCATAATTCTAAATGTTGGACAGAAAAATAACCATGCCACATATAAACTAAATAATGTAAATCTTAATATTACTGACTGCAAAAAAGTATTTAGGAGTTCTGGTTAGCAGTAATCTAAAACCAAGACAACAGTGCATAAGTGTTCGCAATAAAGCTAACAGAATCATTGGCTTCACATCAAGAACTATAAATAATACAAGTCCTCAAGTTGTTCTTCAACTATATATCTTTGGTCAGGCCTCATTTAGATTATGCTGCACAGTTCTGGACACAGAACTGTGCGGCATAATCTAAATGAGGCCTGACGAAACGTTTCGCTTGGTCAGCAGACTTCATCAGTCGAATACAGAGGTGACTACAATACAATAGGAGTGGAGAGGTAATTTCGAGGTGATCAGTCCCCAGTCTCCGCTGAAGTTAGTGTGTCTGTTTTCGACTGATGAAGCCTGCTGAGCAGACGAAAAGTTTCACCAATAAATGACAAAGTTGATCCCATGTATCAGAAATCTTCCCTATGAAGATAGACTGAGGGCTCTGAATCTACACTCTCTAGAAAGGCATAAAATTAAGAGGTATATGATCGAGGTGTATAAATGGAAAACAGGAATTAATAAAGGGGATGTAATTAGCGTGCTAAAAATATCTAGCCTAGACAGGACTCGCAGAAATGGCTTTAAGTTGGAAAAATTCAGATTCAGGTAGGATATAGGAAAGTACTGGTTTGGTAATAGAGTTGTGGATGAGTGGAACAAACTCCCGAGTACCGTCATAGAAGCTAAGAAGTTGTGTAGTTTTAAAAGTAGGTTAGATAAATACATGAGTGGGTGTAGGTGGGTGTGAATGGGACCTGAATAGCTTGTGCTACTATGACAGATGCCGTGCTCCTTCCTTAAGTGAATGTGAACTGACCTGACTAGGTTAGGGCATTGGCTTAAGCCGGTAGGAGAATTGGACCTGCCTCGCATGGGCCAGTAGGCCTGCTGCAGTGTTTCTTCTTTTTTATGTTCTTATATCACTCCCTAACACACTGTCTTGCTCTCTAACACGCATTTCTCTCACACCATCACACACTCTCCCTCATATACCGTCACACTCTCCCTCACACACCATCATTCTCTCTCGTTCACTCACCATCACACTCTCTCCCTCACTCCCAAACTACCACAATTTCTCTCCAGGCTCACCAGTCCTGCGCTTAGGTAAGTAATGATAGAGGTTGTAGCTAAGATGGTGATGATAGCGATTTGTAAAACACATGCGCAACACTAAGGTACCTTTACTGATGAAACGTTTCGCTTGATCAGCAGACTTCAGTCGAATATAGAGGTGATTACAACACAGGAGTGGAGAGGTAATTTCAGGGTGATCAGTCCCCAGTCTCCGTTGAAGATAGTGTCTCTGTTTTCGACTGATGAAGCCTGCTGAGCAGACGAAACGTTTCACCAATAACGATAAGTGTTACGCATCTTGCTCATTGACTTGTAGATACGGTTTACCATTTATAATATAATAGTGATTGTAATGGTTGTAATGGTGGTAACGATGGTGATAAGAGTTAATGGTAGCAAGGGTGGACACAGCAGAGTGTGGAGAAGGGTAATGAGGGAGGTGAGGGTGATGAGGGAGGTGAGGGTGATGAGGGAGGTGAGGGAGGATGATGAGGGAGGGAGGTAAGGGAGAGTGATGAGGGAGGTGGGTAAGGGAGAGTGATGAGGGAGGGGGGTAAGGGAGAGTGATGAGGGAGGGAGGTAAAGGAGAGTGATGAGGGAGGGAGGTAAAGGAGAGTGATGAGGGAGGGAGGTAAAGGAGAGTGATGAGGGAGGGAGGTAAGGGACAGTGATGAGGGAGGGAGGTAAGGGACAGTGATGAGGGAGGGAGGTAAGGGCAGTGATGAGGGAGGGAGGTAAGGGACAGTGATGAGGGAGGGAGGTAAGGGACAGTGATGAGGGAGGGAGGTAAGGGACAGTGATGAGGGAGGGAGGTAAGGGACAGTGATGAGGGAGGGAGGTAAGGGACAGTGATGAGGGAGGGAGGTAAGGGACAGTGATGAGGGAGGTGAGGGAGGATGATGAGGGAGGTGAGAGTGATGAGGGAGGTGAGGGAGGTAAGGGAGAGTGATGAGGGAGGGAGGTAAGGGAGAGTGATGGGGAGAGGTAAGGTTGATGAGGGAGGTGAAGGAGAGTGATGAAGGAGGGTGGAGAGGGAGAGTGCAGGAGGGTTCAGAGGGTGGAGAGGGAGGGTGGAGAGGGAGAGTGCAGGATGGTTAAGAGGGAGGGTGGAGAGGGCCCACTCCTGCCTCTAACATCAAGATACATCATCTCCATCTCCTGGATGGCGGTGCTAATTACCGCCATTGGCCCACTGATTGCTGTGCTTGCAGCCTGTTGGTGCAGCAGCTCTGTTTGTGCTGCCTGTTGGTGCAGAAGCTGCGTTTGTGCTGGCTGCTGGTGCAGCAGCTGCGTTTGTGCTGCCTGTTGGTGCAGCAGCTGCGTTTGTGCTGCCTGCTGGTGCAGCAGCTGCGTTTGTGCTGCCTGCTGGTGCAGCAGCTGCGTTTGTGCTGCCTGCTGGTGCAGCAGCTATGTTTGTTCTTCCTGGTATTACTTAACTTACATAAGAACACATACATATGTATAACTTGTATCAACACCTGACCTTCATTGTTCAGTAGCACTGATGATGGATAACTGGGCTTTCTGAAACAGCTGATACTAGCCTTGGTGGTACTCTTTAAATTCCTTTGAATTGTATACGTAAACACAGACATTATATATATATATATATATATATATATATATATATATATATATATATATATTCGTAATTATGGAGTCACAGGAAACTATCCAGTGAGCTTAACATCTGGTTCATGAATGATGACACTCATTGTTATTGGCGAATCCCTCCTAGAGGATATTAGGTAAATTAAAAATCTCGCAGAGAATCCAGGACTATCCTTAAACTTCACCTAACGTAAAATAGTTTTCCTTGACAGGTTATTGACCAGATCACTGTTGCCTTGCCAGCAGAACGAGTCCTGAATCTTTTCCTAGAAGACAGTGGATTTTTATCATCAAAACAAAACGCTAAACCTACTAGGACAAAGGGGCGCTGACGGACAATGGATGCAAGTCTCATTTCCAGTCAGACTTGGTCTGAGGATATGACGAACCTCCCAGAATGCCCTGTTGGGTTTCTTATTCTTCTCCATGGCACTAGCTGAGACTGTAAAACAAATTTTTCCAGACGTCCTGAGTGCTGTAGCGAGACCCCCAGCTTCACTAGGGCTTTTACTGATTGGGAGCGACTCGCTGCTTCAGGACTAAAGCCAGCTACGACGCTAATCTACCAAAAGTCCAGATGGAATAGCCCCATTGCAGAAAACGCGCCCGTCTCAAAGCAATGAGTGCACATCACTCTGGAGACTTCCTCTTAACATTTTTCATTTCGGCAATGGGCATACTTCGTGACCCACAGACTATCTGAATAGCAGTGGCTCTACCTTGCTGGCCCAATTCACACTTATTAGGATTATATCTCTGGGAATTCACAAGTCCAAAAATATGTCCTACTACATGGTTTAAATAATCCCACTAACTGCTTATATGGGATCTCTAGAACAGTGACACTCTACTAGAGTAAGATTATACCTCCATCTGTTACACGTACATCTGTTATAGTACTGGCCAACATGTGGGTGCTGCCGATAACAGGGATTTACGCTATCAGTTCTAGCGAAATTATTTATATTGTCTCTACGTCCACAGCAGGACTCGAACCTGCCAACTCTGTATCAGAGTCAACAGCAGAGTTAGCAGGTTCGAGTCCTGCTGAGGACGTAGAGACAATGTTATATATATATTATATATATATATATATATATATATATATATATATATATATATATATATATATATATATATAATCCCATAGAAATAAAGGGAATTATACACAGAGACATGTCGCAGTGAGCCAGGATTCTAACCCAGGTCAGCAGCTCATTCCAAGTGCAGTGGGATACTAACCTGATACTCTAAACCACTCGGCTACAAATATCTTATAACTTTGGGTGGCCAGCCTGGATACAAACCCTGTTTTGTCCAGAGCACTAATATATATATATATATATATATATATATATATATATATAATATATATATGTAAGGAATTCGCGAGAGCATGCGAAATATACACAAACACTGATCTCTGATCAGTGTTTGATATATATATATTATATATATATATATATATATATATATATATATATATATATATATATATATATATAATATATATATATATATATATATATAACGTAACCGGAAGAAGAAAACATGAATTGTAAACAGAGTTTATTTTCTGCTTTACAATACAGATGAGAAGTAGGCAGTAGTATTAGCTAAACAAACATATAATTTTATGAACAATAAAGAACAGTACATCAGTTCCTTTCCTCGCCCAGCCATCAATATGCGCAAACACACATACAATTGCTTTAATTGCCATGATCACTAATTCTGACACGCGCCACTCACCGCGCGAGCTCTGCGCGTGCTGAGCTGCGCGGCCACTCATCGAGCATCCACACGTGCTCTCCCACTCAATGAGCTTAAGGCCCTGCACCGAGCGTAACTTTCTTCTATTGGGGAAGTTGATTAAAAACTATACTATCGCTTATATGTGAAATATATAACATATTTTAACTACGTCCGTATATACACATCAGTTTCAGCAGCAATATCCCAAGACAAACCGATTGATTTTCCGGAGGGGGGCCTTCCCCATGAAATTGCTAAAGTAAATTCCTGGAGCTGGCATCCTGGCACTGAGACTGATTGCCTGTGAGTACAGCTGTCTGAAGAATGGCCAGTCCATTTGCAGACACCGGGGAGGGAGCACGTACGCCTCTCTGCTCCGGCTTTGGCAACTTTGTTCTAGTACCTTGGTGACTTTCGTGTCTGGCGCTTACTCTTAGTGTTTTGGTGTCGCCTATAAGAATCTAGTGTTACCGTGACTGTCGTTTGAGTGCGCAAAGACGCGGTGAAACCCGCCCTTGCTGGAAAGTATTATTAATATTTTTATTTATTTTCTTGTCCTGGATTTGGAACTTTAATTCTTGAGACTAGAAGTGAACGAGTGTTTATAAATCCATTTTGGGGGCCCGCTAATATAAGGATGATGTCTCTAGTCGGCTTAAGGGATTATTAGTGTACACCGCAGCTAGTGATACCATCAACAATTCTGAACTACTGTAAGGTAAGATTTTCCCGACACCGGGATTTTCCCTTTTTACCCGATCTTGGGCAGGTTAGACAGACTGTTGAAAAGTGTGATGTGCGCTGCTACACTGACCTAACTGAAGTGCTAGAAGAAGGTTCTTGCTAGAGTGTTGGTCCTGTGACAGTTCTTGCAGCTGGTGTCCACACTTAGTGTTGGTTCTTCTAGGTGTATTAGGGAGGTGTATGTGTGGGCAGGGACTTAGTGTTTACTAGCCTGGGTGTGTGGACACTCCTCTTGCCTGGCCAATTTTGAGCAAGCAGAAGAGGCCGTTAGTCAAGTGGGGAGGAGGGTGGTAAAATGAATGTCGTGCCACGCTGCAACTCAACAATTTCACCCTTAGATTACTTGCTTTTATTAATTGGTTGAAATGTGTTGCTGCTTCTACAACTGCTAATGAAAAAAGAAAAAAAAAACTACTGAGAATTCCTCAAAATCAATGCATTTCGGAACTTAACTTTTCGTATATAATTCACTTGGTAATTTCGATCGCCATGTGCTGAAAAAAGTAAGTGAGGTACACGGATATAGAGTTGACTATCTCTCTCATAATGGCACACAAACGTAATTAACTTTGAAAGTATCACGAGACCCGAAATAGACGTCGGCAAACAAACTGATGTAAACAAAACCAGAGAAAGTCTCCCGGATTCAGATGGTATCTTAATACACGAAAATCATGCAATTCTTGTGCATTCAAAGCTTTATATATATATAATAATATATATATATATATATATATATATATATATATATATATATATATATATATATATATATATACATAAAACCCAACAGCCCGGCAAACTAACCAATCTTCCTCACTCGCGTGTTTCTCCAGTTTTTTTTTTTTTATTTTATTTAGTGAACGATATTTTTCTGACCGAGAACAAATCCAAAGGGGGAGGAAATTAGATGCCGCATCAAGTCCGTTGCCACGTTACTACAGAATACCAGAATTTTCACACTATTTCACCTCTCTTCTCTCCGTTTGGGGTCAGTGCCTGGGTTCATCGTGAGTGCTGGCTGCGGGCTCCACCTGATTGGAATTAGGTGTGCTGGATGTTGATTAGGTTTGGTGTGTGGGGTGAGGTATCGCAGGTCGATTGGTGAGAGGAGAGTAGTGCGAGAGCTGGGAAGCCTTGATCGTCACTGCTAGCGATCACAACCCCCTTCCCCTCTCTCTCTCTCTCTCCCTCTCTCTCTCTCTCTCTCTTCCCCCTGAGAAGTAATGGAAACTCATCCATTGTGTTTCGTTTCCAATTTCACTGGAAGGGAAGGTTCATTTTTGCCTTGCAATACAGTTCCGTGGAAGACCATATCAAGTACATATTTTTTTTTTACCCGCCCTCCCCTGCGTCTGTCACGTGTTGTGAAGTAATGACTCTGGTGTGGGTGTTAGTAGTAATGACTGTTGTAGGTGTTAGTGGTAATGACTGGTGCGGGTGTTACTTGTAATGGCTAGTGAAGGTGTTAATAGGAATGAATGCTGTAATGACTGGCATATGCGTTAGTGGTAACGTTTGGCGTAGGCGTTAGTGGTGATGGCTGGCGTAGGTGTTAGCAGTAGTGATTAATATGGGTGTTCGTGGTATTGGCTACTGTACGTTGGTGTTAGTAGTAATGTAGGCACTAGCGGTAATGACTGATGTAGGCGTAATTACTGGTGCAGGTGCTAGTAGCAATGACTATTATAGGTGGTAATGGCTGTTGTAGATGCTAGTGGTAATGGCTGTTGTAGGTGCTAGTGTTAATGGCTGTTGGTGCTAGTGGTAATGACTGTTGTAGGTGCTAGTGGTAATGGCTGTTGTAGGTGCTAGTGGTAATGGCTGTTGTAGGTGCTAGTGGTAATGGCTGTTGTAGGTGCTAGTGGTAATGGCTGTTGTAGGTGCTAGTGGTAATGGCTATTGTAGGTGCTAGTGGTAATGGCTGTTGTAGGTGCTAGTGGTAATGGCTGTTGTAGGTGCTAGTGGTAATGGCTATTGTAGGTGCTAGTGGTAATTGCTGTTGTAGGTGCTAGTGGTAATTGCTGTTGTAGGTGTTAGTAGTAATGGCTGTTGTAGGTGCTAGTGATAATTGCTGTTGTAGGTGCTAGTGATAATTGCTGTTGTAGGTGCTAGTGATAATTGCTGTTGTAGGTGCTAGTGATAATTGCTGTTGTGGGTGCTAGTGATAACTGGTGTTGTAGGTGCTAGTGATAATTGCTGTTGTAGGTGCTAGTGATAATTGCTGTTGTAGGCGCTAGTGATAATTGCTGTTGTAGGCGCTAGTGATAATAGCTGTTGTAGGTGTTAGTGCTTTGAATGTCGGTTTGTCGGGTTATAAGTGTTAGTGATAATGACTGCTGTAGTTATTACTAACTACAGCAGTAATAACAAAGATAGATGTTAGTGTTACTATGATATACGTCTACAGTAACACCCAGATGTGTGGTTAGGTATAGGAAGTATTTTGAGTGACATTATTGTTCTTATAACACATGAGTGCAGCATGTGTGTACCCATGTTACTCGACCACAATTTTACAAAATTCAATTAACTACTGTCAGAGAAATATTGGCTGGTGTCACGGAGCCCTAATTAAATTAGCTAGCATATATTTTTTTGTGTCTCATAGTGTCGTCAAGAGGTACAAAGTGCGTCCCAGAAACCTGAGCAGAAAGTGTTTACAGAAAGCCCTCTAAAGTGTCAATAAATGTAATCATTCATTCAGCTCTGGGGGATGCGAAAGTAGAGTCTTGTTTTGACACTGATGGTAATATGCTCACTCCGGGGCCCTGGGCTTCTCGCTCGCGCGCTCAGTCTGAACCACGTGTGAAAAATGTGTTAAATCTTTCTTTTTTTTTTTTTTTTTGGAGCGTCTTATTAAAACAAGATATCGCTCAAGAACGCGATACTTTCACGTTAATATAATGTGGCGGAGTTAATGTGTAAAACAGTTAGTGCTATTTGTGTAGTTACTTTTATTGTGGACAGCTCTTTACTCTTCGTTATACACGCGTTTATATATATATGTGTGTGCGTGTGTGTATATATATATATATATATATATATATATATATATATATATATATATATATATATATATATATATATATATATTATATATATATTACACATATACACATAGTTGTGTGTGTTTAGTGCAAAGGTTTTTACTTTGATAATTCTTTATAATTTTAATACATACTCATAGACGAACTTGTTAAAATGGGCGTGCGCATGTATACTTTGCCGTGTGCACTAAGCGCTTGCGCGGAAGCCAGTTTGCTTGCGCATGTGCATCCGCGTGCCTGCGCGCGTTAGAGAAGCCATCGGCAGTGGGAATGAAATTGCTGTGTTACTCTTCCTTAGTACGAGTTGTGTGTAGGACGTTCTGTGATGACACGTTTCACACACACACACACACACACACACACACACACACACACACACACACACACACACACTGAAATACAGGCACTGCAAGCACTATCATGGAACATTCCTGGCATTCTGAGCTGCACGTAAAGTGCACCTGCCACTTGAGAGACATGCTTCCCATGGACAGCAGACACTCCAATGCACACCAATTCGGTACACCTGGCACTGAGGTACACTAGGTATACCTGGCACTGAGGTACACTAGGTATACCTGGCACTGAGGTACACTAGGTACACCTGGCACTGATGTACACTAATTAGGTACACTACTAGATACAAACGTCTGCCGAAGGTACACAATTACACCTGGCATGTTAATAAACACTTGACAGTTGCACTAATTAGGCACATCTGACACTGGGGTCGACATTACACACCGGACACGGCAGTATACACAAGTACACCTGACACTGGAGAACTCATTAGGTGTGCTTGGCACTCTTGAAGTTAAATAATTAACTTCTACTGGCACTTTCCAGATTCAAAAAGAGGTTTATATAAACTTTTACATGGAAAAGGTGTAATTGGCACTGAGGTAGGCACACCTGGCACCAACGTGCACTAGGCACACCTGGCATTGACGTGCACTAGGCATATCTGGCATCGATGTGTACCAGGCACCCCTGGCATTGAGATGCACTGCAACTGGCATTGAAGGGAACTAGGCACGCATTGCTATTCACATTTGACACACAGGCACATTTGGCACTATGCACACCTGGCGCTAAGGTGCACGAAAGACACCGGGCACTGATGAAATCACTAGGTACACCTAGTACTGAGGTAAAGTAGATAAACGTGGCACTGAGGTTCACCTGGCACTGAGGTGCACTATATGCACCTGATATTGACGTGCATTATGTGCAAATGGTACTGAAATACACTAGGTACTGAGGTACACTAGGCACACCTGGCGCTAAGGTTCACGAGGGACACCTGGTACTAATGTAGTCATTAGGTACTGAGGCAAACTAGATAAACATGGCACTGAGGTACACCTGGTACTGAGGTACACTATGTGCACCTGGTATTGACGTGTACTATGTACACCTGATACTGAAATACACTAGGTACTGAGGTACACTAGGCACACCTGGCTCTGAGGTACGCTAGGCACACCTGCTCTAAGGTACGCTAGGCACACCTGGCTCTGAGGTACGCTAGGCACACCTGGCTCTGAGGTACGCTAGGCACACCTGGCTCTGAGGTACGCTAGGCACACCTGGCTCTGAGGTACGCTAGGCACACCTGGCTCTGAGGTACGCTAGGCACACCTGGCTCTGAGGTACGCTAGGCACACCTGGCTCTGAGGTACGCTAGGCATACCTGGCTCTGAGGTACGCTAGGCACACCTGGCTCTGAGGTACGCTAGGCACACCTGGCTCTGAGGTACGCTAGGCACACCTGGCTCTGAAGTACGGTAGGCACACCTGGCTCTGAGGTACGCTAGGCACACCTGCCTCTGAGGTACGCTAAGTACACTTGACAGTGAGGTACACTAGGCACACCTGGCAGTGAGGTACACTAGGCACACCTGGCAGTGAGGTACACTAGGCA